AAGAAAAAATAGTAATCGTGTTACAAAATGAAGAAAAAAAAGAGAAAAAAAAAGGTATGAAATGAAAGTACAAAAATATTAAAATATAATTTCTTAGAAACGCATGAATATATTAGCAATTTTTATAGAAGATATGTTATTGTATAAGACTTCAATGCCCCAGTAGTGTAATAATTACATTACATATAAAATTATCAGGTATATGAAAAATCAAAGGTCATAAATAATACAGGTTTCACAACAAATGGCTTGTTTTTTTTTTTTAGTGAATAATGGCTTACTTGTTTTAGATTCTGTTCTAAGTAGCCTTTGAAAGAAAGAAATATTTTGTTTACTTTCTTTTATATTAATATGCGCTCAAAGAAATCTAAAAAAACATAAGGTATATATAAACTCGGAGAATAATGGTATCTTTTTAATTATGGGTGTTCGCGATCTGGATTAGATAGGTTTTGGAAGCAAAAAGTATCTGATCCAATCCTTTCGATTTGATAATCTAATCATCCATTCGGTTTAGATTTTTTTTTAAATCCGATCTGATCCAATCCAATTTTTTTCGGTTTGGATTGGATCGGTTTTCGGTTTTTTGAAAATCTTAAAATTTGTTTCATAATTGTTGTGCAAATAACATCTTATATTTTGGCTTTGTAATTTCATTTTTTTTAAAATACAAACGATAATATAGTTTTTTTTTTTTTGGACATTGAGATATGAAACTCTACATAATGAGATTTTGTTAATAAAATATGACTACGTTTTTTTTTTAGTTTAGTTGATGGTTTAACGAGTCTTGGGTTTAGAAGAAATTTTGAGCTATGATTGTGGAAAGACCCAAGTAGGTAAAGAAAAATTAATATATTGGATCAGTTTGGATTGGATCGGCTCAATCCGAAAATCGATCCAATCTAATTAAAATTTGTGATTTTTTTTTATTTTTGGTTTTTCGGTTTACGATTTATTTGGTTATCGGTTTTTCGATTCGGTCATCGCGATTTGAATCGGTTTGGATCAGTTGATGAACACTCCTATTTTTAATATATTTTTATTTTATTCAAGACAAAATGTTATATAATAAAAAAACATTTCAGGAAGGAAACCTCATTTTGATTATCATCAAATACATTTTTGGGGACGAACAAAAAGTTTTAACTATAATTAAACCCCTATACAAGATTTGTCATATAACTGACTTAAAAAGTTGAAGCTTGTGAAAATATCAAAAGACCGACTTGCTTAAAAAAAATAATTATGGTCGGTATACAAAAAAAACACTTAATCTCTTAAAAACTTAAAATATAGTAATTAATTTTTTTTTATCAGTTTAAAAGACGTAACTTTATAACATATTAGATGAAACAACGTGATTTGGTGCATAACATGTGATTTTTACATGCTCTTTCCTTCGTTTTCTCTTCCTAATTTTATGAAGGAGAGAAAAGATAGAAAATCATCAATTATACATTAAAATAATATCATCTTATTTAAAATGACATAAAATTATATTATTTAAAATAAAAAATATTTTCCCTTATATTAAAATTATTCATTAAAAAGATATAAAATTTTCTAAACCTAAATCCTCACCAACGAAACTAAAAGGGTGTGGTATATCTATAAAAAAAAGAAAAAAAAAGTGTGGTATTGATTCAAAGGTCGCAATGCTTATCCAGATCCCAATTTGGTGTTGCGTCTTACAGAATTGAATCTGAAACGTTTTCTTTGAGTTCTAAGATAGCTTTGTATCTTTTTAGGCATATAGAAAACAACGGTAACATGTTTAAAAACCAAATTAAATAAGCTTAGCATTTTTAATTTTTATTTTATTTTATTTTTTTACATTTATACACAAACGATGCAAGCAATGAATGAAACAAAAGTTAATGCGATAATCGCCATTCAGCGGCGAATACAAAGGGAGATTTTCGTAATTGGAGCATTGGGGATGGGGTACAATGCTGAACTTCCACAAGTTTTATATCCACTGAATCTAATCTGATACAACCAACCACTTCCACAAGTTGGCACCTCTCATCTCATGGAATCACACATCCTCGTTTGGAGCACCAACATTAAATACTCCAAACCTCACTTGTCAATAATCTAAAATGCCCTTCATTTCTTCCTTTTTTTACTTTCGAAAATTCTTAATAAATCGATATAAAAATTAGAGAAGATAAAACAAAAGATAAGGAATTCGCATCTCCATCACCATTTGCTGGGATGGGCCTTGCTTACTTTACGATTGAGTTACGTACACTCTAAAATCTTAATTAGATGAAGCTCATTCCTTGCAAGATAAGAAAGCTATCACCCTAGTTGTCACTTAGATCTAGATAGAGGTGATAAAGTGGGCACGACAAATCATCAACCTATCAAAAAATGAGTTAATCTGTCACGTTCCCACTTTTAAAAATGAGCTAAAAAAACTTAGCCTACTCCCGCTCTGTTTGGCCGGCGGAGCAGGTTAACCCGCCAGCCTAAACTTGTTTTACATTGATCTGCTTCGGCCTGCTTCTTCCAACCATCAATCCGCCAAAAAACAAGTCCGCTCCACTTTTGAAATATGTTGTAAAACTCAGTTAGCTCTGCCGAGCTAAGCCCATTTTGGCGACTCTAAATCTAAAGATTTTTTTTTTTTTTTTTATACTTCTATTGAGAGATATGCACTAGTTTTATGCAATTATAATTGTCATATTACGTAACTAAAACTGTTCTATGAGAAGTGGTATCCGCATGTACAGAACAATGTTGTATATTAATCAGGTATAATTGTCATGTGCACTAAGTTTCTGTTTGTATCATCCTATCATGTGGGTTTTCAATTTGTCTGTTTGCTTTTTTTAAGACTCAAAGAAATTTAAATATATAGGCTTAAGAATTGATGATTAAGGTAGCTAAAAGTTATATGTATAAATAAATAAGAAATACCAACCTCCTTACTTGAAACAATGTAAACAAATGCAACTTTATCTTTTTTTTTTCTCTACTTGGTGTTTGTAATACTTTATTCACATTTAAAAACAAATGCTAGTGGAACCTATTATATGCTGAGAAATAACCATATACCGCTTAACTAATGGAAACTTTTCTTTCAGGTCAAGTAAGATCTATTGAGAAGTGGAGCCAAATTGCATCATAATCGATTTATCTCGTTCAACAGCTCTTTTCTCTGCTAATTTTTCCTTTTCCGTTTCCATATGACCAAGCTCAATTTTTATCTTTATCAAATGATATAAATTCACCACGTCTTGAAAATATGATCTACCCTATATGTTAACTGTTCTGGATGAACATCAATATTGGTTTGTTCTAATTGTGAGTGTCCTTCTTGGGATGTTAACCCCTATATTTATACTTCTAGTTAGAGTAGTTGCACTAGACGTGGAGAGAAGGTGATTTACCTTGGACGTGGAGAGAAGGTGGTTTACCTTGGACGTGGATGAGTAGTTATCTAGGACGTACCATCTTGGCAAGACCCATCTCCTGGACTAATAAAGGAGACAACTGTCCCATAACCCGGGCACCGTTATCCCGGGTTCTTCCAACCCGTACCAGAGTAACTAACCCGAAACATTAACATTTCCAAGATGTGATATATTTTATACCATTCGATGCACAATGATAAACTATGGCATAGATCGTTGCAAGAACCTATAGAAATCTTTTCAAGCTCATCATCTGAATTATCACATTTTATAATAGAAAACCATTTTTCAAATATTGACTTAAATTGCATTTATTTGTTAAATAGAAAGACCATCTTGATGTCAAGATATTCATTCACTTTGATTTGATTTTCTTCAGTGTAATCGTTATTAAGAGCTATACAAGTTTAAAACAAATTCACCAATTGTTACAAATTAAAAGTTAAACCTAATAAGAAAAAAAAAATATTAACTCACTATACCATAAAACCATAGGCAAACTCTTTATAGGCCCACTAAATTGAAAATAATTGCTTCTAGAACAAGTAGAAGTCTTTGTCATACTACTAGCACACCAACATATAAACCAGTTGAGTACAAATTGATCCATTTAATAACTCAAGGCCAAATAAAGAACATGAGCACCAAGACGAGTGAACGGACATCACTTCAAATAAAATGACCAATTTCGTAAGCAAAATGAATGAAATCTCTAAAAGCAAAATAAGCAAGGGTCATGCAAGAATGATAGGTAGAGGCACGAAGAGTGAGCTTCTATTACAATGAGCTGGTTCAGATTTAATAATGCTAGTCATTTATCTTTTCAAGCTTATCATATGAATAATCACGTTTTATAATAGAAAAGCCATTTTTAAAAATTGACTTACTTAAATTGCATTTATTTTATTAACAATCTTAGTATACATAAGTGCGATACTCACAAGCTCCAATAACAAATTAACAGCAAAAATAATCTCTCTCTCTATCATAAGTAGGACTGTAGGAGTATTTCCAATATTGGCATAAATTAAATTTTAAACCTAACATATTATTGTACATAAATCAAAATTTTAATTATAAACCTCCTAGTTTCATACTATAAGAATACATTAAAATATATCGATGATATTAAAGATACAATACATTTTTTTATAATTGTTTATTATTTTTATTTATAACTAACTAACTAACATAAATAAAATTAATTAAGGAGAAAAAGAAACTTTCTCTGTATATGAAGAATCAATTAAGAAAAAATATAAAAATAAAATTGAAGTAAGAATATGTGATAAAAAAAATGAAAAAATAGCCGTGATTATAAATAAAATTTAAAGATAATTTCTCTTAAGAAAAACTAGAACTCAAATGGAAGATTTGAAGTATTATATTAATAAAATTAATCCGATGAAAAAATAAATAAGGAATGTATATTTCATTGGGTGAAAACTAGTTTCGTAAATAATAGGAAAGGGAAGGTTAATATTTAATAATCACCCAAAAAAGGAAGAAAAAAATAAAATAAAAAAATAGCATCTAAAATTTTGTTCGTGTTATTCTTTCCTTGTTTGTTGGGTGAGGGATAGAGGGAGAGAGCGTTTGTGTCATTGTGTGTGTGTATGTATTGTGTGCAACAGTGCAAGCAACGAGGTTTATGATAATATAAATAGTTATCTGCTTCGCCCTTTAGAACGTTGTTGCTGCTACTTGTTCTCTTCTTTCTTGTTTTCCTCGCCAATCCCTTTCCAATCTTCACAAACAAATATGGGAGACGAGAAGAAGCCCAAGCCTGCTACTTCCGGCGTGTGGTCCACCGTTAAGCCTTTCGTCAATGGTGGAGCCTCCGGCATGCTCGCCACATGCGTCATTCAACCCATTGATATGATCAAGGTCGAAAAAGTTTTCACCTTTGTACCATTTTTGTGTTGATTCTGCCAAATGGGTTACTGGGTATCTCTTATTTTCCTCATGAGACTCAGATCTGTGGTTTTTTGCACACGATCCATGTTGCTTGATGATTTTTTGTGTTGCTGGGTTTGTTTGTTTTGTTGATGGGTTTGGTGGTGTAGGTGAGGATTCAACTTGGTCAAGGATCGGCTGCACAAGTCACATCCAACATGCTTAAGAATGATGGTATTGGTGCCTTCTATAAGGTATTTGCATTTCTTCCCATGCTTTTGTTTTTTTGGATGTTGTTTTATTTATCCAATAATGGATCCTTGCTTGATTCTTGCTGGAATGGGTTTGGGTTTGGTCTGTTGGTGTTTTGGGAAGATTTATGTTGATTATTCCAATGTGAGATACTTGATTACTTTTATTATTGATTCTAATAAGCTCTTGTGTTGGGTGTTGTGTTTCTTTCATTTGTTTTATTTACCTGGCTATAGACCTGCAAGTGGAACTGGATTTTATGTTTTGCTGATTTGCCTTATGAGTTATGAAATGGTTTCTTATTGATGAGTCACTGCTTTGTCCATTTTCGAATTTGGAATTCGGTTTTGGTTTCATCATTTATCCTTTACTGATGTATGCATCTACTGGTGTCTAAACTGGATCACTTTATGCAGGGTCTAACTGCTGGACTACTCAGGCAGGCTACATACACCACTGCTAGGCTTGGATCATTTAGGTTAGTTGTTATAATCACGTTAATCATTCTTAACCCTTCAAATAGGAGAAATTTTATAGCTTTTCTTTTAAAGACTTTGTATTATTCCTTTGCAGTGGTTATGCAATAATAACTTTTTATCACTGGAAGGAATGTCATCTTTTGTGGTTTTAAGAGAATTGCATCATGTCTTACTTAATGGTTTTAATGGTTTTCAGAATCTTGACGAGCAAAGCAATTGAGGCCAATGATGGCAAGCCCCTGCCACTCTATCAGAAGGCTTTATGTGGGCTGACTGCTGGTGCTATTGGGGCGACTGTTGGTAGTCCAGCAGATTTGGCACTCATTCGTATGCAGGCTGATGCAACTTTACCTGCTGCTCAGCGCCGGCATTACACAAATGCCTTCCATGCACTTTATCGTATTGTTTCTGATGAAGGGATTTTGGCCCTTTGGAAAGGGGCTGGGCCTACTGTAGTAAGAGCCATGGCATTGAACATGGGGATGCTTGCATCTTATGATCAAAGTGTTGAGTTCTGCAAGGATTCCCTTGGTCTTGGTGAAGTTGCTACTGTCGTAGGTAATTAACCAACCATTTACTATTGTCGAATAATTTTATTCCAACTTATTGGCTGTAGATTTGACACTGTCATAATATTAGTTGGACAACTGAACTCAACTTTACTTCATTAAATAAAATATTAAGGTTAAAATACACTTTACCTTCCTAACAACTGTAAATATTAGAATTTTAAGGTTGACGCATTGGGCAAAATCCTTAAGGATTTGACTGTAATTTACCCAAATATTGATAATGGTCTAACATGACTAAATGTTTGGGAGGGATAATCCCGGTTTCCAGTAAGATGTGCTAAGGGCATTGTTTAACACCTCATCCTTAAATGCGTCATGTCTAGATTAAAACGTTCCTCCAATGGTAAGTTCTAGACATATAGCTATATCTGTATGTGAAAATAATATATAATCTTCAATCCATGTATTATAAATTCAAAATATGACTATATGTACTTTAACATTGTCCCTCTATGAAATACCGATAATTGTTTGTTTTTGAATTTACTTGCCAAAGTTTCAAAATCTAAAATTGATGAGACTATTGGCTTTTATTGATGGATTTTTAAGTTGTCAAGACCCTGTGGGGTACTGTGTAGTCATTCTCAGTGATCTTTGATGATCACTTCCTATCTTCCGTTCTCTGACATGTGCTCAAGCTTGTACATGCAGACCATGAAATATGTATTACATATACGAGTCATCTTTTTAGTGAAATATAAGTTGGTTTTTATCCTTCTAAGAATTATCTTGTTGCATATTAATCCAAATAAATTCAAACCGATCTATAGCATGGTGAATTGGAATTTGGAGCTAAATAGAGAATACTCTAAAAGTTATGAATTAAAACAGCTTTGATTAATTGAAAATTAGATTTTAATCTCTACTTTGCTAAAGGGAATTGGGGGGCAGTAAAGAATCCTGAGATTTTGGAAGCTAATGAAGGATGATGGCCAGGGGCTAAACAATAGTTGAATTGAAATTGAATACTAAAGGTGTAATTGACCTGTTTTATTTTGGAAACAAAAGTCAATTGTCTAAAATGATTTGGCTGTTTCTCAGACTTTGAATGTTTCCATGGAGTAGTTAGCTTTAAGTTTGTTGCCTGGATAATGTTGAGGTAAATTCTGGGGAGGATCTGCTAATTTTTTGAAACCAACAATTACTAAAGGCATCTAGTGATGTAATTGGCCCATGGAAAGGACTCACGTGGACAAGAATGAAAAATCAGGTGAATAAAGTACAAAGAAGAAAAAAATAGACTTCACACAGGCTCCTTCTGTATAATGTGAATTTTTAATGCAACTGATAAATAGAGTGCAGATGCTGGGGATTGGGTTTTATGAGAAATTGAGAACTCTGCTAGTTGTAATTTGTGAATATGCTAGAAATTTACTCAGTTTGTCTTTATTTACTCTCAAATTCAAGGTTTCAAGTCTCAACTGCTAGATTAATGTCTCCCGGATAGAATTGGAGTAGACTAGTAGTTTGTCTGTTTCATTCGTATAATTCTTAAAGGTTATTGCTATCGATTTCTTCATTAGTATTGTTTTAGGTTTTGAAAGAGGGTTACTTTACCATCATTTTCCATCCACTCCGTAAAGCTCTCTCTGATGCTTTAGCTGTTACTTATTCAATCTATAATCTTAAATGTTCATTAACGTTGACTGTGTCTGGCTCCAAAACTATCCAACAGATAAATAAAGGTAAAATAGTATCTTAACATTTTGACTTTGCTTGGATCTCTTCCTTTTTCAAATGCCAGTGATTCTTTTAAGATTATTATCTATCAAGAAAAGGTCTCTAGTGATGGGTAACGACTAAGGAGTGATGTCTATGACAAATTAATTGATTCTGTTTTGTTGCATTGATTTGGTTATCCATGTTGCAAGTAATTAAAGTTTATCCTCATTTAAGCTGTGGCTCCATTATTCTTTGGAACATTGAATCTGGTTCTTTATTCGGCCAAAATCTGTGATACTGTGTTCATGAGCTCTTACCTTGACCCAAGGGAACACTGCATATTCACATTCAATGTTTTTTATTTCTATTATTTGCATTCAAAGTTGTAATATTGGAACAAATTGGGAGGCTTGGTTTTTGCCATAGTAGGATATTACGGAAGCTTATATAATATTATACTTACATAACATGATTCCTAGTCTGATTCCAGGTTTTGTAAGGGAATTCTCCGTTATTGATATCTCATTTTCTTCTACGCGGAAATATGCGATATTCCTTGTGGAATGTGTACCATAATCTACATATGTGAAAATCCCTTTTGTACAGCCAAATGCCAATGATGTTATTCTCACCGTTTGCTACTAACATCTGTTGTTCTTTAGGTGCAAGTTCTGTATCTGGATTCTTCGCAGCAGCTTGCAGTTTGCCATTTGACTATGTGAAGACCCAGATTCAGAAGATGCAACCTGATGCTGAGGGAAAATATCCATACACTGGATCTCTTGATTGTGCGGTCAAAACCTTCAAAGCAGGAGGACCGTTGAAATTTTACACAGGATTCCCTGTCTATTGTGTTAGGATTGCTCCTCATGTCATGGTCTGTCACATGTCCTGTCTAACAATGATTCGTTTGCTTTTTTTTTTTATTATTATTATGTTCTTTTTATTTTATCTTTTGATGTCTAAGTCTGACTGTTTGTTAATTGGTTATGCAGATGACATGGATCTTCCTTGACCAGATTCAGAAATTGGAGAAATCCCGTGGGTTGTAGTTCTCTGCGGTGGTGGGCATTTTGTGTTGGATTCAAGCTTTGAGCATTGAATAATTTGTTGGCTGTGTTGTAGTCCTTTTTGGCAATCAAACATCAATGCAGCTGATCATTTTTTAAGAATTTAATTAATCATGCAACTGAAGCAGGAATATTGACATCCCCTTAAATTGTACTAGTTATATGTAGAATTGGATGCGGCTGGACCAGAATAGTATAATTCCATTTTTGAATGGATGTGATTGAGAAACTTGTGGACTAGAATAAGTACTCTATCGACATCAAGTTTTGTAATTCTTTTGTTTTATATATCTGGATACATTTCTTGCAGCTGAGGATTTAAGAGCATCTAATTCATTGGACGCTTTCCTCCTTCCCCCCCCCCCCCCCCTGAATTTTGTTAACCATTTTTTTTCAACCTGAAGTTGTGATTAACGGATAGTCACATTATGAACAAGTATGTTTTCCACACCATAGGTAAATGACGTGTTGACAAGTCATAATACTACTTAAAAAGTTGATTTATTTTAATATCATATAATTAGCGATAGTTTAAGGCTGATTTTGGCTCCAAATCAACGACTCCTACTCTCTTTGTGTAGTTTCTATTTTTGAAATTTGTATATACAGGAATTTACAACATAAATACAGAGAGGAAGATGTGGTCCATGGTTTGAAATTCAATCAAACCAAACCTCAAGGATAACCATAAAATAGGATTGCTCACGTCAGTTTTATGGTTTGTCTAACAAGTTCCATCCCCCAAAACACTTTGGGTAAATTACATACTTGCCCTATGATGTATCTCTTCACAACTTGTATACATGAATCTTTTCACTAGACCCTTCGGAGAATGGTTTTAACTTTTAACTGATAATATCAATTCTCCAATTAAATCATGGGAAAAGCTAATATCATGTTACTGTAAAATCTTGTTTCCTCCTACTATCAGATCGTTTTCCGTGCTAGCTTTTTTGTTTATTTTTTTTTCTAATATTTGATGGGCCCTACAAAAACATGTCTCTATGACATGATGTATTCATTTTGCTGTTACATAACATTCACAAAACCCTTAAATCATACTAACTTAACGCGCGCACAAGTGATCAAATTCTACATTCCCTCTCTTGATGAGCTTCTCTCAGCCACAAGCTCGAGGATGCTTACCTTCACAATATGTAATAATGCTTCATGCATCATATACAATGGAATTGATCAAATTACAATGGTGTGAATATTAGTGTTTACAGATTTAATGTCGTGTTATATTAGGGGTGGCAAAAGCCATGCATGAGTTTTCTCAATATTCAGAAACTATGTAAGAGCATCGCCAGACAATCAAAGCAAAGTATCTCACAAAGGACTTTGAGAAACTTCTTAGCACCTTGCGCACAGATATGGGAAATCAAAACATGACCATGAGGAAGAGATCGCATGAAGAGAGGGCCAAGCATAGAGAAATATATAAGCTTGTTTATCATGCAGCTTCTAATACTTTACAAGCAGGTTTGATGAGAAATAATACAACTGATTACTTCTAAATTAGCATATGCATAGAAAAAGATATAAATGTATGAAAGCCTTCACTTATCAGTTTTATTCTCATGCTCATTGATCCTCCATGTGTAACTCATGATGAATGGAAGTTGTCATCAAATCCATTTTCATCTGCTGACATCCTTTGCCAAGTTAGGAGAGGTCCTGGATCTGGTGGAAGAACATCTTGGAGCACATCATCAGCTTCAAGCATCTCTATCACTTCGTTCATTGAGGGACGATCACCTGGCTTCATTTGTATACATTTTAAGGCTATCACAATCATCTTCTTTGCTATATTCTTTTCTTCATCGGTGGCATTGTTTATTTCTATTGTTTCCTCAAATTGGTCATAAACCCATTTAGCAAAGTAGTTTTGCCAAGAATTCTCCATAAAATTTAAGTTCTTCTTTCTACCTGCCATTTCCATCAACATCATCCCAAAACTATAAACATCAGCTTTGTGTGAGATGCCTCCAATGTTTTTGTACAGCAACTCAGGAGCCATGTATCCCATTGTTCCTCTTGCTGCTGTTAGGGATAAAATGCTTTCATCTATTCGGTACAACTTTGCCAGCCCAAAATCGGATATCTTGGGTTTGAAATTCTCATCAAGAAGAATGTTATGAGGTTTTATATCAAAGTGTATGATTTGCATGTCACAACCTTGGTGTAGGTATTCAATCCCACGAGCAATTCCAAGAGAAATGTCATAGATTTTCTGGTAGCTTATTGGTAAGTTTGCTTGCTCTTGTGAAAATGTGTGTTTCTCAAGAGACCCATTAGACATGAACTCGTAGACAAGAGCTTGCTTTGTTCTCTCAGCACAGAATCCAATTAGCTGGACCACATTGACATGACGAATTCTTCCAATGGTTGCAACTTCATTGATGAACTCCTCTCCATTGGTTTTGGCCTTGGTCAATAATACCTTAACAGCTACAATACGTTTGCTTCGAAGGTCCCCTTTATAAACAGTACCATAGCCTCCTTCACCTAACTTAAGCTTGAAACCTTTGGTCATCCTTTTTATTTCAGAGTAAGAGTACCTTATGGGCATGAAATTATTGTGACTCTGTATAAAATCTTCAACCGTGTCATCAACATCTCCGGATAAATTCCTTTTTCTCCATTTACATATCAAGAAAGCAACCACAAAGGGTGACCCAAGTACAAATTTTACAACGACCCATGCCATCCCTGTGGAAATAAATCTAATTAATAGTTAAAATATCTTGATAATACATAATTGATAATACAACTCAAGTTTTTTTTTTTTTTTTTTTTTTGATATATACAACTCAAGTTTGTTGATCATCCGTAAAAGAATTTTGAATATTCTATTGAATTTCTTACAACACAAATTGCATTCAATAGACAATGGAATGTCTATACTAAATAAATTAAGACGTTTTAAATAAAATGATGAAATATCAACATACATTAATATGAATTATACCTTTATCCTTAACCATGTTGGGTTTGTTAGTCAATAAACTCAAATAAAAATATTAATGAAAAAAAAGAGAAAAATAAATAAATAAATAAGTAAATAAAAATAAACAAATAAATAAATAAGTGATGAAATATGTTTAAAAAAAGGATTTAAAATTTCTAAAGTTATTTTAGATAACTTTATGTAATGTTTATCAAAATAAACACAATAAAAGTGTGTAGAGCTCATTTTTTCTTTTTCTCTCCTTTTTCTTCATATGGATCCCACATACTTTTTTGTATGTATTTTGATGAATATTTAATAAAATTATCTAAAATAACTTTAGAAATTTTAAACCCTTAAAAAAAAACAAATACACAGGAAGCTTTTAAATGTGGAAACTAATTTGTTGGAACTAGCCGATTGGTATGTTATTTAATTAAATAACTTCGCCTATTAGTTTCAAAAGGCTTTTTAATCAAGGACCTTAAAATTTTATATTCTTGGGACTTGGAGTACATTGGTCAATTATCTACCGTCCTCAATTTTGGATTGCATTTGCGCAGTCCCATGTATCTCTCGAGATTATGGAAGCACACTAAATATGGTTCTTCTATTGTTAAAGATTGCCTACGGGAAGCTCATGGAGTTTGCCAATCTTTGGTAGGCTCCTCTCTAGAGACTAGAGGCATATTTGGAGATGGCGCAACATCTCTCTCTTCAAGATCCCTTGTTTACACGGCACCCTAGCTAGCCCTTAGGAAATTATTTCCGCCTACATCAGTCAGTGAGATCAAAGTTTCGCTCACCAGAGAACTGGTGGTCCAGAACTGCACTTCCACACCTACCCCAAGCAGCCACGGGCCACCTTGGGAAAAAGTGTTTGTCACAAAACTTGTGTGATTTTTAAAGAGGTGGAATTTATATCTTTATTTTTGTCGTTCACTTTCTCTTTCATGATTTATCTCTTTCTCTTATTTAAAATGACACAATTTTACATCCTTCGAATGGATACTCACTTTTTCCTACAAAAAAATACGTTTTATTGAATAAGTTTAGAAAAAACAAATTTAACAGCGAGTCAGGTTATAAATGAGGAGTGGTCTTCCCATATCACAGATCACAATTTTAATAAAGAAATTCATAAAAGAAGAAAATGAAATTGTAACATTACATGCATAGTTAATTTTTCTACATTTAAATTCAACAATGCTTTATAGAAGGTAGTTTATGCCAATTTCACGGATTTAAATGAATGATTAATTTCTTAACCAAATTGATTTTATTTAAAAAATAATTATCTTTGAAAAATTCTTTTAAGATATTTTAAATTCAAGGTTGTTTTAAATATACCATAAAACAAGGGAGTTCCTCAGCACTTTTTACAACTATTTTATAGTTATTATATTGAACTATTAATTTAATTTTAATCCAATAATAATAAAAAAAAATAGCGGTAAGAGATTATAAGAAAATATATAAATGATTAATATAATCTCCCTCATCAATTAATTAAATGCATAATTAAAATTTTTACCAAAAAAATGCATAATAAAAATAAAAATAACGAATTAGATTAGCTTACCACTCATTCCAAAATAGACGAAACTGTACGCTACTGCGTGCTGCGTGCAGTCGGATTTACTTCCAAAATAGGAGTACTTGTACTCAACCTGAATCTCATCCCGATCCGGTTCCGGTTCCGGTTCCGGTTCCCGGTCATCGCAGCGTAATGGTCGCCACCGAAGGTCTATCCCCTTCGCATACTCACTCTGAATCTCTGGATAAGTACAGTTTCTGCTACATCTCATCGTTCTCAACCGACTTATCGTTACCTTCAAGTCTACGGTGCATGACTCCGCCACGTCTGCGGCCGTGACGTAAGGTCCGAACAAAGCATAAGAATAATAAAGGTTTTCGTTTTTGCCACAGTGCGCTGCTGAGATGTCCCAGTAGCCATCATGATTTACTGGTTTTTCGCAGCTGACAACTATCAAAGAATCACTAATACGATCAGCAGGAAAAGTGGAGAAGGTGATGTCTTCGTACGGTAAGGAGAGAGAATTGATGAGAGAGCAATAATTGGGATGACCTGATCCAACTCCGGTTGTGATGTAACGGAAGGTGGTGGTGGAATTAGGTGCTGCTATAATGGCGGCTGCGTCACGTCTTCCATAGTTTATGTACATCACCGCTTTGTTGTCTTCACATATCACTTCGTAACTGGGATCCACCCAATATGAATGTGGTACTGCAGAATTGTTGAATATGATCCCGCAAGATTCCTTTTCATGTGGCCACGAGCATGTAGGATAATCACTAATTATAAAAAAGGAGGTGAAGAGGCACACTGAAATTATGAGAGCTGCGATGCATCCCCCCAAAGCCCACAACATTTTTTGCTTTTTTTAAAGGGTGAGAGTATCTGGGATGATTTTCCGGTATTGCCCGCTAAAATGCTGCAGGCATCGCTTCTTATGGTGTTAAAAAAAATAAAAAAATATGTTGAAATAATACTTGATTTTATAATTTTAAATTTATTTCAATATTATTGTGAAATGTAAATTATTTTTAGAATAATATATGTTACAAAGATTAACAAATTTATAAAATTCAATATTAAAAATTTTATAGAATATAAATAATTCTACAATATTTTCATAACCAAAATACTCCCTCTTGTTAAAGCTCTGGCCGTGATATTTTGCGCCATGAAATTGTGGGTTTCTCACTTATTTTTCATTCCTCTTTGTTTCACGCTTCTTTGTTCCGTTCCGGTGATCATTTTATGGTATGACAGAATTTTTTTCCAAAAATTTATCAAATATTAATTTTACAAAATCAGCTCACATTTCTATAAATTATGAACAATCAACCAAATATAAAATCAGAAAATTTAAGCTAACTTTTCTAATATTTGATTTAGGGGAAGGTTATATTTACAACCTATTTTCGTTTATAACTTCTCACACTCATATCTAAACCAATCAATGGTTAAGATTTTTGTAAATCAAATTTATTAATTAATTATTAATTCACAATAAATGACATGATTCACAATATATTTACAACCCCTCCCTTTGATTTATCAACTAGTTTTTTGATAACATTTTTGAAAATTTTACTTTGTCAATATATTCCCACAAATAATTTTTTTTTCCGAACGCGTAAAAAGTAAATGACAACGCGCCTTGCCCATTAAACCAAGAGTTCTAGCCAATGCTCAAAATCAAAACACGTGAACATCATTCATTTAATTGTCCCATTTTCTACGTATTCAAGCTTTTGACTTTGGTAATGTAATATTTATAATGTTTAACCAGAATAATTTTTTGGTCAAATATTTTACTTCAATATTTAAGATGTGAGATATGTTAAGATATGACACAATGGGTAATGCGTCATATGCAATGTTTTTGGCACGTCAATCATTGAACTGGGACATTACTCGCACAATTGCGTTCCATGCAAAATCATATACAAAAGACGTGTTAGTGTATCTATCACATGTCAATAAATCATTTCAACGACCCGCGGCTAACAACCAACCGCGTTCTGTGAGTTTTTTTTTGGAGCATCCTCTTATGTCTCTCTCTTACATTACCTCAAAATCAACGAAGGAGTGAACTTTTGAAATATTCCACGCACACTCTCTCTTTCTGATTTTTTGGTCGAAGAAATTTTTTTTTAATACTAGAAAAAAATATAATTAATAGAAAAATAGTTAGAAAGTGAGTTTGGTAGAAAAATGTAAAAAAAGTTATTTAGTTAAAAAACATTTTACCGGACAAATTAGATAAGACTTATAAAATCTATGTTTGGTTTGAGGTAAAATATAAATTGAGAAATAAGTGATAATTACGAAAATATCCTTATTTTTAAATTTTTTTAATCACCTATCCTTTATTTTATTTTATTTTAGTACAAAAACACAGATCTAGATCTACCCACTCAAAACACAAACTTTGATATTTTCGTAAAGGGTCACTTATATCCTTGTGATCTGTGTGGAGGTTTCCGGTCACCAAGCATCACACCGGCCACCACGCAAAAAAAGCATCAACTCATTCATATGCTATTTTATTTGAATCTTGGAGATGCTTTTCAAAACAACTCAATCCTGTGTGACCTGTCAAGTTTGTCTTAATTTGTTTTTATCTTTTTTCCCTCAAATCTGCTTGTCGTTGAAAGAAAAGAAAGAAATCCTATACAAAATTCCTATTTAGAATTTGTGACTTTTTAACTAGGATCCAGATCTGCTTGTTCTTCGACTTGGTGCAGATTGCCCAAGTGGAGATCTGGCATTGTTGGAAACTGGCGAGCATCTGTACACTCCTGTCACCCAAGTTGAGGGTATGGTCGTCGTGTGGTTAATCAGCCATTTCTCCATTTAGCTAGACATCATTCAATATCACATCTCAAATGGAAATCTGTTGCCTTGCATTTGGGCCAAATTGACATGCAAACTTGATTGATGGGGGTTTGATTTTGATAGCAAAATTTTAGAAACTTTTCAACCAAACAAGGTGATTCAAGAATCCCACTTATCCGAATCCTATATATGTGATGAGATAGCTCCAACCAAATGCCCCTAAATAAATAAATGTACTACACATTACACATGTTAGGAGAAGTGGCGCTTCTCAACACATGACAGGGAACCTCCATTTAATCTCCAATGTTACATCTATTCCACCCACTACAATAGGTTTACCTGATGGTGATCAACTTGTTTCCAATCACAGTGGCAGTCTCAAGTTGACATCTCATATTTCTCTTCAGAATGTGTTATATGTTCCCAAATTACAATGCAACCTCATATCAGTTGCTCAATTACTTGCTGATACAAATTGCATCATTTCTTTTACTCACAATGGCTGTGAATTGCAGGACCCCATAACGAGGATCAAGACTGGACTGGGTAGATTGCAAGCTGGTGTTTATGTGCATGACTCATCCAACAACAAATCCATCTCTACTGCATGTGCGGCTCACACTCAACAGAATGCAGATGTTTGGCACCGTCGATTGGGTCACCCTTCATTTCAGTTTTTAAGCTTTCTTCCTTTTGTTACAGTGAATAAAAATAGGGGTCATTCTCCTTCAGTTTGTGACATTTGCCTACGCGCACAACAAACTCGTACTGTATTCCCTATTAGCATTAATAAAACTACTGCATGCTTTGATCTTATTCACTGCGATATCTGGGGTCCATATCAAACTACCTCTCTAACCGGTGCAAGATATTTTTTAACAATTGTGGATGATTATAGCAGAAACGTCTGGGTTTATTTAATGACCACCAAGTCTGAAACGTTCCAATACTTAACTCGATTTCTTCTCATGGTACGTAATCAGTTTAATACCATGGTCAAAATAATACGCTCCGACAATGGATCATAATTTTGTGCTCATAATCTCCGCAAGGTTTATTCCGATATGGGAATTATACATCAAACATCATGTGTAGACACACCACAGCAGAATGGTCGTGTTGAACGGAAACATAGACATATTTTGAATGTTGCAAGAGCATTACGCTTTCAAGCTAGTCTTCCTATCGAGTTTTGGGGTGAATGTGTTCTAACTGCGGTACATTTAATCAATAGAACCCCCACTCCTCTTCTCCAAGGAAAAACACCATATGAATGTCTTTTCAACCGCACACCCAGCTATGATCATATTCGCATATTTGGATGTCTTTGCCATGCTCATCCACGTCCCAAACCGTTGGACAAGTTTGCAGCTCGATCAACTCGGTGTCTGTTCCTGGGATATCCTTTTGGCAAAAAGGGTTGGAGGCTTTATAACCTTGAAACACATACTGTTTTTGTATCCAAAGACGTGGTATTTGAAGAGAACACCTTTCCTTTTGCACCAACCACAGTCATTCCTACCACTGATATTCCTCACGACCCAAACCCCCATAACCCCATATCACCCGAACCAACCCTTGCTCCACAAAGCCCATCCTTTGATTCCCAAGTTGTTACCAACCTTGTCCCTTTAATTGAAGACACTCTCCCTGTTGAACAGGCTCAGCCCGAATCTGCCCCTACTGTCTCCAATGAGCTTTCTATCCGACAAGAACAGCCCCCAGAAGTCACACATCCATCTGCACCTTTGGGACGTGGTCACCGTTCTCGCCGTCCTCCATCATATCTCCAAGATTTCGAATGCTCCAAATTCATCGCACATAATCCACTAGCTTCTTCTACTTCTTCCAGTCCTTCCTCAGGTATGGCTTATCCTATTGCTAACTTTGTTTTTTGTTCTAGATTCTCTCCCAAACATCAACAATTCCTTGCTGCCATTTCTTCTGGTGTTGAACCAAAAACATTCAAGGATGTTGTAACTGATGAAAGGTGGCGTGTAGCAATGCGAAAAGAAATAGATGCCCTTGAACAAAATCTCACGTGGGAACTCACTTCTTTGCCACCAGGAAAACGTGTCATTCCATGCAAGTGGGTATACCGCATTAAGTACAACTCAAATGGTACAGTGGAGAGATTCAAAGCACGGTTGGTCATTGCCGGTAACAATCAAATAGCTGGAGAAGAATACTTCGATACATATGCTCCTGTAGCCAAAATGGTGAGTGTCCGAACACTTCTTGCGGTAGCTGCTGCCAAATCATGGCACCTATACCAGTTGGATGTTACGAATGCCTTTCTACACGGAGACCTTACCGAAGAAGTTTACATGCGCGTTCCACAAGGTTTCAATCATCACAAACCACATCAAGTATGTCGCTTACGTAAATCTCTCTACGGTTTGCGGCAGTCCCCTCACAATTGGTTTGCTAAGTTGTGGTCTTCCATTGAATCATATGGCTTCATCCAATCCAAGGCAGATTACACCCTATTCACCTTACACAAAGATGGCCACTTTGTTGCTCTTCTCATCTACGTTGATGACATTATTCTAACGGGCGACAATGATGCCTTATGCACCGATGTCAAGGTCTTTCTCCAGTCATGCTTTCACATCAAAGATTTGGGGATTCTTAAATATTTTCTTGGCATCGAAATAGCTCACGGTCCATCAGGTCTTTTTCTGAGCCAACGAAAGTACGCTCTCGACATATTGGAAGACGCTGGTCTCCTTGCGTGCAAACCATGTGCCTTCCCTCTCGAAACAAATCATAAGCTTGCAGTTACAGAAAGTCCTCCATTCTCGGATCCCGCACGTTACAGAAGACTCATAGGACGTTTGGTTTACTTGACAATTACTAGACCTGAGTTAAGTTACTCCGTCCATGTTCTTTCCCATTTCATGCAAAATCCTACTATTGCTCAATATGATGCTGTCATCCGCGTTTTAAGGTACATCAAAACTGATCCTGGCCAAGGTTTACTCCTTCGATCCGACAATGATCTCCTTCTTCGTGGATATT